AATACTGTGGGAGCCCCAAGGTTCACTCCTGGGAGAGACAGCCCCCATGAGGTGGTCCGTGGAGGGCAAAGGTACACGAGGAGCCCAGAAGAGGCTCTGAGTAGGTGGAGCCGTTTCTGGAGGACGGGACCTCTGAACTGAGTTATGGATGGCGCAGAAGGCACGTGGTGACCTAAGAAAAAATTCTTTCTACTCTAACGATACTAAAAAGAGACTTTTTAAAAAAGTCTTCAGAACAACTGAAGCTTGATGACTCCTTGATTCTGCACTAATATCCTTGCCCATTTCTTGATACATTTTCAATTTACCTTCATGGTAATTTACACTCAAGGGAACTGTCCAAGATCTGCTAAGGGATTCAATAAAATAGGTCATGGAGTTAAATGCTGTGGTGAAACACAGGGCTTAATTTTATGGATAAAATATAAATTGCTTGGCTGCCTTTTTGTATTATTCGTGTTACAACTAACGATCACTCAGTGAGTAGGAAGGACTCACTAGAAGAGCGAGGAAGCGGTTTTCCTCATTCGATAAGCATACCTGGTGGGGTTGCAGGCTTTGCCCTTGAGGTTAACAGGCGCAACGTTAGGGAAGAGACCTGAGCAGCCTGTTAGCCCACCTCCACCAGCAGGGCTGCTCTTCCAGCTGCGATAGGAACAAGGAGAATTCTTCCTAAGATTGACATGAGGGGGAAGAGGAGGAAGACAACATGTTAACACCAGCACTTTTCCTGATATTTCTCAAAGCGAGTCTGCCCTGATTGATGTCTTTGTTAAAAATGCATATTCTGGGCTGTGGCTGGACCTGCTCTCTGGCAGGGAGGCTTAGGAACTTTGATTCTTCCCAAGCAACCCCGGGTGACTATGAGACACACATGGAGAGCTACAGGGCGGCACTGAGCGTGACTTCAGTTATGCAGGATCTTTTATTAATCCAGCACTGGGCTCGGAAGTAAAGAAGGACCACTTTGCTGTAACAACCAAATGACCTATGAGTATGGAATAAAAGGATAAAGTCAGCTGTATCTCAGTAAAAAAATATTTAGTGACAAGAAGAAGGACTGGGCTTCCTAGGTCGTCAATGTTTGATGGGGTTTAATACAATTTCACTTTTGAGGTTTGTTTCTAATAATACCCTTCATTTACTTGTTTGATGTATTCATTGGTCAATTCTGATTATGTAAGTTGGAGATGTCCTTCTTCCATTTGCCATCTAGGACAGAATTTAGAGTTGCAAAACTAACCGAAAGCTAACCATTCTCACCAAGCACTAAGAAATTAGTCCCTCTGGGGGGGACATATTTCCTAAAAGTTTTCTTTTTCTTTTCATTCCAAGTGTTGTTTAGATTAATGTTTCTCTAGCTGTTCTGTGTAATGATTTATAGGCACCTACCAGCAAGCACCCCCACCCCACCCCGCAAAGGGTTCAGTGGTCAAGGAAGCTTTGGAAATACCAGGGAAGACAAAATGAAGGTCTTATTGGAGACTGCAGATCCTTTAGGAGCCCCTAACATGTGGATGTGCACAGTCACTGTCCAAGAAGGGCACAAAAGCTCAGGATGTACCAAGCGCATTTAGGTGGCATGGAACCTTCTGCTGGGTGAGCATTCAGAGGACCACAGCTCATGAGATACACAGTTAACTCCATTGGCAAGTTATGGCAGAGGGATCAGGCTGCACAGATTTAGGAGAACAGCTCCTAAGACCCAGGCCTAGGAAGTGTTTTACAAGTGGAGATATATATTAGATCACTTGGGGAGAGCTTCCTCAAATACAGACTTCCCCACCTTGACATCAGGGTTTAAGTACCAATGAAAATTATGGCATCACAGTCTACTTGGTCACTGCCACTGCTACCGTCATCAAATCATGATCAGCATTTCTGATGAACACCACAATCCCTACCACTACCACCACGTTGGCAGTGCCACCACCATCATACCAGGACCGACAAGATCCACGTCCTCACCAACACCATGCTCGGTCCCATCACCACCACCACCACACCATGAGCAATTAACACCACAGTCATCATGGCTTCATGATCTATGCTATTACCACCGCTGCCACTGGGGCAGCCATCATCACCACTGCACCTGCTATTGCCACCATCCTTCTAGTGTTCAGACTGAAGAGGGGACAAACAACAGTGTCCTTACTTCAGGTTGTAGTCAAAGGTCGGAAGGCTGGATATAATTGCACATACTTATCCTGGGTTACTGGGACATCCCAATAAGCATCAAGTGGAACCAGACACGGCATCACAGTGGAATCTTGGGGCCCACTGTCTAGAGTCTAAACAGGATCTCGAGTCCAAGGCAGGCATACCTCAATTACCTCTGTGACTAGAGTAAAACATGTCACATAGATCTGCCACATCCGCCTATGTGATGGGAAGATTCAGCCGCAATCTGATTTCAGAAACGTGGAAGCTGGACTTGAGCTCATTCAGGAGCAGTGCTAGCCCCATGGAGACCATAGAGGGACTTTAAAACCAGCACACAGGGCATCTGAGTGGCTTAGTCGGTTAAGCACCTGCTTTCGGCTCAGTCACAATCCCAGAGTCCTGGGATCGAGCCTCATGTTGGACTCCCTGCTCATCGGGAATCTGCTTCTCCCTCTCCTTCCCATTTGTGTTCTCTCTTGCTATCTCTCTCTTAAATAAATAAAATCTTAAAAAAAAAAATAAAACCAGCACAAAATGAGACTTGTTACCTCTCGAGGACCTAGTCTGGGGGTGGGGGAAGGGGAGAGGGGTCACAGCAGAAAAAAACTTAAGGGTATATTACAGTTTACATAATTAAGTTAATTTAAAATGGTATTTTATGTATGCCCTGTTGTATATATATCATATATATACACATGTATAATAACGATGATGGTGGATGGCATGTACTGAGGACTAACAGAGTGTGGGGAGCTGAGCTAAAGGCTTTACACATATTACCCCTTTAATGCTTACGACTCCCCTATGGAGGAAGTGTGATTGTCAGTCCCATTTTTCTGATGTACAAACTGTGAAGTAGGGGTTCTTGAGCAAATTAATTGTAGCACTGTGGTAGGAACCGAGGCATTCTGGTTCCAGGGTCCATGATCTTAACCAAAATTGGACACTGGTAACACACTGTCTGCATGCTGTCTACACAGATATGCAGTATAATAATATCAGCTGTGCACACGTCAGCCCGCATGGAGTGATTTACGGGAACGTTCAAGGATATTGTTGATTATGCATGATTTGTCTCATGGGCTAATTTCTGAGACGAGATTTAAGTCAACTGAATTCCACACAGTGAAAGACCACCAAGTGCGAAGCCATTTGGTGCAAAACATGATGGAGATGATGACTACCCTCTAGGCCAAGTTCGCAGCATATGTATGCAATGAGCAGCTGCGGTGTGCAGGGCACTGCGCAAGGCCATGCCATTCCTCCTGCCCCTTAGTCCACAGCTTATCTTGCGTGAAGTCCCCAATGGACCACCAGAAAAGATAGTGCAAAGAGCTCAAGTTTCCAAGCACTTCAGACAGCGAAAGAACTGGGCACAGACTGGGGACGATTCTGAGGGTGGTGCAGAGGGTGCCTGCCAAGGGACCGGCCCTCCTTCCTCCTCACCCTAGCTCATTTCCTTAGACATACCCATATTAGAAATGATCACTTTGCGAATGTACCTATTGTTAACTCTTAAAAATATATTAATATGTGCACATTTATATGGATAGTCTACACAATACATTCACCTTCGTCTGTTTTGCAAAGAGATGGATCCCTTCAGTATTAAGCCGTACCTCCCGCGCCCCTGCAGTGTCTGCAGAGGGGCCAGAACCACAGTTAGGGCTGCTCTGACTCTGGTATTGGGTGGGCAAGGCTGCTGGGCTGTGTGCGGAGGTGCCCCCAGCTCCAAAATCCCATGCTCATCCCCTGCTGCTTAGTAAGCGCCAAGTGTGTGCCCGGCTCTGTGCGGAGTGTTTATAGGGTTTAGCTCCTCACAACAGTCCCAAAAGGCAGCTGCTATCATGCCCTGGAGGTTGCTCTGCTGGCTTGGCCAAGGTTGTACCAGGCTGGAAATGGCAGTGCTGGGACATAGATGCAGGTGTATTTGGTTTTGAAGTTCTGCTTGTCTCTGTGATCTGTCCTTGTTTTAATTATACCCAGGACCTCTTAGATCAAGATTCTTCGTCTCTAAAACGGGGTTGGGCGAAAATAATGCTTGTTTGAGGCCTCAGTAACAGAATGCAAGTAAGAACACTGTAAAGTGTAAGGAGCCATTCAAAGGTACTAGTAGTACTATTATTTTGGTTTCATGGGATACAATTAAACATAAATTTGTTTCACTGGTTCGGTAACAATTTCAATATAACCTTTGTAGTTTGATGTATTTTAACTTTTTATTTTGAAATAATTTTTGACTCAACGAAGTTGCAAAGTACTTAGCAAGGACAGTGCAAGGACTTCCCACATCCTTCACTCAGCTTCTGCTCATGTTAACATCTCCAAGGACGGTGGCACAACCATCTAAACCAGGAAATTACCATTCACATGATGCATGAATCTTTTTTTTTAAATATTTTATTTATTTATTTGACAGAGATCACAAGTAGGCAGAGACGCAGGCAGAGAGAGAGGAGAAAGCAGGCTCCCAGCGGAGCAGAGAGCCCGATGTGGGGCTTGATCCCAGGACCCCGGGATCACGACCGGAGCCGAAGGCAGAGGCTTTAACCCACTGAGCCACCCAGGTGCCCCATGATGCACAAATCTTGAGACTATATTCCTAATTCCCCTGGATTGTATTGCTCTGGTCTAGAGTCCAATCCAGGATCCCACATTGCATGTAACTGTCCTGTATCCTATTCTCCTCTAATTGGGGACAACTCTTCAGTATCTCATGACCTGGATCCTGGAGAAAAGTACTAGCCAGTATTTTTGGATGGAACATCCATCAGTTTGGTTCGTCTGAGGTTCTCTCTCCATTGGATGGAATTTATGCCCCTCAGCAAGAATACCTCAGAGACGATGTTGCACCCCTTCTCAGTGCATCCTGTCCAGGGTGCCAGCCATTGCTTTGTCTTGGCTCTGGTGGTGCTAACATTGATACTTGATTGAGGTGATGTCTGTCAGAGTTCTCTACTGTTATGTTACTATCTTCCCCGTATCTGTAAATAATAAGCATATTATGGGAAAATACTTTGAGACTACGCAAATATCCCGTTTCCATACTTTTGTCCACTAATTTTAGCAAACATTGATGACACTGGTCTGCAACAACCATTACCGTGATGTTCGCCAAACAGCCATTTTTTATTTCCAGCATTCCTTCCCCAGCTTTCATTAGAATTCTACCATAAGGAGGAACTGTCCTTTCAGCTGTGTTTATTCATTTATTCATTCAATCATTTATTTATATCCCTATGGGCTCATGGATATTTATTTTATTCTGCAGGGTGTAATCCATTATCATTATTTATATTATTCCTCAAATTATCCCAGATTTGCCCAATGGAACATCCTTTAAATTGGCTCTGGTGTCTTTCTGACATGATCCCATCATTTATTAACCATGTTCTTGCTTTCTGGGACCATAAGATATTCAGGCTCATATTGTTTGTTCTCTGTCCCAGCTCAGGAATCCCACGTTTCTCCCAAAAGACCAGGCTTTTTTTTTTTTTTTTTTTTTTAAATTTAACAGCATTTAGAAACTAAGAAGGCGAGTTGTGCTCAATGCTACTGGGGTTTTGTGGTTTCTAGGCATCTCTCAGAAGACAGAAAACTAGGAAATTATATGTTAGACATTATAATTATATACCATATAATTATGTAACACAAACACATCCACACCCCCCTCTGTATGTCCTTCTATAACAATCCCTCCCGTGTAGACATTAAAAACCCTGAGTTCATACTGAACCCTCCAGTTCCAATCCAACACCACAGGGCTCATTCCAGCTCCCTTCTTTCCCTTATTGTAACTTCTCTCTTCAACAGTGAGAAACCAGGCTCTACCATCCACAACGCATTTGCTTGCTCCTGTTATTTACATAAAGTAGCTTCAAAATTGCTCACCTCCATCCCCGTGGAAAATAGATGCTCTAACTAGAGAACAGTACTTAGGTATCATTTTTTTTTTTTGGCTTCAGCCTCCCAGTACCCAGTTAGACTGCTGCTTTCCAAGTTCCTTTCCAAGTTTTTGCTTTCCCAGTGCCTCCAGTGGGGCTGTCTACTCCTTTGTAGTAAAGTAAGCTGTTTGTTACCATTTGTACTTCATCTTCGGTTCCCCTTTCATCCAGGCTGATTTTAATGATATATTCCATTACTTTGGTATGTGATTTTGAGTCAGAGAAGGGTCTCTCCTCCCTCACTCTAGCTTCCATCCTGCTCCCATGCCCCCATTCTTTCCACTCTTTTCCTATCCACCTGCTGGAAGGGACCAATCTCATTAGTTTACAAAATCTATTCTTAAATGATTTTGTCTTCCTAAGATTTATTTTCCCTATCATTATCAGTAATTCATAAATCTCCCCAAGGTCTAATTCTTTCTCGACAAGGTTGTCTTCAAAAATATTATACAGACACATCTTTCCAATTTGTTTTAATTAATGCCCTTTGTACTGTTGGGAGTGTTACAAACTGTCTGATGTTGGCCTGGGTTTTCTGAGTGCTCTTTGCATGAGTTCTCTTTATGATCTGCTTAGCAAAGAAGGCAAAGGCTCGTGTCTGACTGAATAATCTTTGCTTCCCGCTGGAGGACAAAGATGGTTGCAGGTCCCGGCATATTAACCCTGGAGCTGTGGGAGTTGAGGGTTAGGCCCGACTGGTTGGCATAGCAGCAGCAGCAGCAGCAGCAGGGAGAGACAATAAAGGTCTGCTACAGAGATGGGGTCCCCCACGGCAAGATGGTAAGAGCACTGAGATCTAAGAGACTGGGGCTTTGTCCTTTACTTGCTGGGGAGGTCTCGTGCAAAATGTTTTACCTCTCCAAGCCTCAAGATTCCTTATCCTGTGAATGGGAATATTAATATTTAGTCACAGGAACATTTTGAGGACGATGTGACTCTATTTGAATCCCCCAGTCCTGCACTTGGAACAGGCCCACTGAAGGACAGTGTTCCTTTCTCACTTAACTCCCACCCATTCTTACATTAATACATTGTGGTTTCCATTTTTTCGTATTTTTAAAAAAGATTTTATTTATTTATTTGACATAGATTACAAGTAGACAGAGAGGCAGGCAGAGGGGGTGGGGGGAAGCAGACTCCCTGCTAGGCAGAGAGCCTGATGTGGGGCTCGATCCCAGAACCCTGGGATCATGACCTGAGCTGAAGGCAGAGGCTTTAACCCACTGAGCCACCTAGGCGCCCCTCATTTTAATTAAACTTAAATTGAACTTAAGTTAAACTTTTTATTTTGAGATCATTGTAGATTTATTTTTTAAAGATTTATTTATTTATTTGAGAGAGACAGCATGCACAAGCAAGTGGGAGTGTAGGGAGAGAGAGAGAACCTCAAGCCGACTCTGCACTGAGCTTGGAGCCTGACGTGGGGCTTGATCTCACAACCTGCAGATCATGACCTGAGCCAAAAACAAGAGTTGGATACTTAACTGGCTGTGCCACGCAGGTGCCCTGAGATAACTGTAGATATTTATATGTGGTTTAAGAAATAATACAGAGCGATCCCATCTGCCCTTCATCCAGATCCCCCCAGCGTAACATCTTGCCCTGTTCCAGTACAGTAGTACAACCAGGACATTGGGATTGGGAGAACGCATCTGTCTTATTCACATTTCATTCATTCTACATGCATTCATTTGAGCATGTGTTTTTAGCTCCCTGAAATTTCATCCAGCCTGTAGGCTGCATTTAACCACCACAGCTGAGCCATGTAACCACTCCCTCACTACAGCGAGCCCTTGGTTGCCCTTTATAACCACACCCACTTCCCTCCTCTCAAGCCCTGTCCCCAACCCCTGGCAACCTCTAATATAGTCTCATTCATATAATTTAGTCATTTCAAGAATGTTATATAAATGGAGTCCTATACTATGTAACCTTTTAGGACTGGCATTTTTCCCTCGGCATTACTCCCTGGAGATTCATCAAAGTTGTTGTGTGTATAGTTTCTTTTTATTACTGGATAATATTCTCTAGTATGCATGTATCAAGGTTTAACTGTTTACCCCTTGAAGGACATGTGGGTTTTTCCCAGCGTTTAGCTATTGTCAAGGAAGCTGTAATGAACATTGGCGTACAGGTTTTTGTGTGAAAGTAAGTTTTCCTTTCTCTGGGATAAATGCCCATAAGTACGTTTGCTGGGTATACGGTAGTTGCATGTTTAGTTGTAAAAAAATTGCTACACTGTTTTCTAGGGTGGTTGGGCCATTTTTACATTCCCCCCAGCAAGTATGAGAGGTCCAGTTTCTCTGCAACCTTGCTAGCACTTGTTGTCATTATTTTTTTCTTTTAGGCCACTGTCATGGGTGTGTCATAGTACCTTACTGTGGTTTTAAAGTTGCTTTTTCTAACGGCTAACATTTTAAATATCTTTTCATGTGCTATCTGCCACGTGAACATCTTCTTTGGTGAAATGTTTCTTTGGTGTCTTTTGCCTATTTCCTAACTGGACTGTTGCTGTTTTTATGGTTAAACATTGAGAATTCTTTATATAAATAGCAGTCCTTTCTTGCATATGTGATTTGCAACTTCAGCTCTTTGAGGAATAAGACAGTTACATTAAATAAGCAAAAAAAATTTAACAAAAACCATTGATTTGTTTTCCGTTTGTATCTGATTGGGGGAAGGGGATGGAAAGCCGGGAAGAGGCGTCTTGTAGTTAATGAAGACACAAATAATGGTTCCCATTTTTCATAGAGTCCTTTATATGCACACTAATGAGGCAGAATGGAAACCAGAAAAATGTCTGAGGGCCTCAATACAAAGCACATTCACTGGGGAAGGGCTGTTCCCCCTACCCTGGTGCAGCCGAGTCCGGCAGGAGAGTACCAGCCACGGAGCCTCCCTCTTGGAGACCCTTCCGGGATCTGTTTCACTGCAGCCACATCTCCAGGCAGACAGATGAAGAAAATGCTGATCTGTTAGTAAATCAGAAAAGTACCTCTTTCTGAAAGACTTCGGAATTTAACACTTGTGTGGCCTCAAGCCCTTGAAGCCTCACATGAGAAAGAGAAAATTATCTTGGCTCAAAACAATTGCCAGAGTAATTCAACATTCTTAAGTCTATCTCCTGCAGAAAAATCTCTTAAATTAGAAATGTGAAAATAAACAGTTTTTCAGGCCAGGCTGGAGAACTGCCTGTGAATATATATTAAAATCACTCTATTTGATTAATAAACGTCTGTGTGAGCCCAAGATTAAAGCAACACGCTGAGCTTATATAATACTTACTTCTGCTCTCATGGTGTCTCCTGAAGCCCTGAAGACCCGAAACCTGGGCTGTCACTGCCTTAAACAGAATTATTAGAGTTTAATTTCCCCCCTTATGTCAGTTTGTCTTGTACCTCCTGATCATGATGCACTGAATCCTCTATTCACTGTGTAACGGAGAATCAAAATTAAAGTGACAGGGGTAAGCACAAGTGATGTGCGTCACACTGGACACTGATCAGATATTTGTATTTTACCCAGAAAACTGCTGGTGTAAATGATATTGCAATGAATATGCCTCAATTTAAAATGCAAGTTGCTGAGAGGGAAACCTGGGAGCCATAAAGTGCTCTTCCCCTCCTCAAGGTTGTCCAAAGGGAAAAAAAGGACAAGGCTTTCAACTGGGTTGTTATCTTTACGATGCAATTTAATCTGGGATGCCACAAACATGTGGGGCAGGATCGTTAGGAAATAACATCATAAAGTATCAAGAAAGGACTAAAGAAAACAGGAGAAACAGTTTTTGTGGTTTTCTCACCCCTATGCATAGATATGAGAACGTGACGCTAACCTGTCCGGTCATGGCCACAGGCACGTGAACTACTTTCAGCCAGCCCTGGGTCGAGGGCTGCTCAGGATGCAAGTGGGGAGACGGAAAGATGCACTGGGTGTGTCATGTGGGCTAGACACGCCACATACATTATCTCGTTGAAGCCCTGTAATAAATAACCTTGCAAAAGTTAGGAGATGTTATTCCCCTGCTGCCGTTGAGGACA